TTATATATTTGAAAGAAATATATATATATATATATATATATATATATATTTATATGTTCACTCATATAAACTGAACATACTGTATATAAACAGTATATGTTGAGTTACTGCTTGATATATGTAGCTGTATTGCAGAATACGATTCACTTCTTAGTATATGATCATTATGACACATCGTAGAATTATATTTGTTTCTTTCATATTTATTGTTTATGATCTACGAGGAGCTCCCTCTACTCTTCCTCGACCAGGATCCTCCAGCAGTAGATGGGTTTATCGTGGGCTCTGTGGCCTCGGTTGTCTTGAGTTAGTAGACTTCAGGGTCAAAGTCTATCTCTATTCTATGCCAGGATGGGTTTTTTTTTGTTTTTTTTTTAAGTCTTTCTTCAGTGTTTTCTGTCACTCTTGGCCTGGTGTGTTACACCCCTGTGCTGTCTGGGCTGATTTTGGTCACAATAAAATAATAAGATTGGATTATTGTAATGGGTGGAGAATACTAATCTCTTCCATTGCAAACCAAGAACCATCCAGAACCATAACAACTCTCTGATGTTTGGTGAATACAAACAGAAACATTTCGATTTATCTTTAGCAGATGCACCGTGTGCCGCATGCAGATTGACAGAACGAGACTCAAAAGTAAGTCATTAAAAAAAAAAAAAAAAAAAAAACCAGCAGTGGTTGAAAACCGCACCTAGTTTTATTGCGGTCCTTGAGAACAATGGCCGCCCTTGAACGGTCATCGTGAACTTAACAAGATAATACATACACTTGTCAACACGGTACAATGTGCATGGAAGAGATTGAGAACTGTTCCAACACTCATTGTGGTAACATCACAAATGTTTTGCTCATCATTTCGGAGAGCATGGGAACTAAAAATTTGGGGCTTGGAAAGACATTTACACAGGAAGTTCAAATATCTACAGGTGAAATTCTTCCAGGAGGATAATTGAATGGATACAAACAGGGCAAGCTCTGAGGTTTAACTTTTTTTTTTTTCCCCTACGTTTTTCTTCAGTAACATTTTAGACTTCGTAATAAACTACTGTTGTGTCTGAATCCCAGCTGCAGATCCATCCCCCCACTGACCCATTAAGTGTGGTCCAGACATCGTTTGACTGTTTAAGACGCAGATTCAACAGTAAAATATTAAAATCACCCTCATTAGCTTTTGATGCAGCGCCATTTTGTCCAGTGCCGGCAAAAACCCGTGCAGTGGCACAACCCTCGTCATTCTGCAGGGTTAGGAAAACACAGCTGGATTCTTTTATCACCTTCAGGTGGAAGCCAAACTCCCTACCACTGAGCTTCAGCCAAAATATATTACACACACAAATAGATAAAACATAGTTACAAAATGCTGGGACTTTTGATCTTGGTTCAACAAAATTGCCCTATGAAGTAACTTATAATATACTGTATATTATTTGTGCGAGTTAAGCCAGTGATCCCCAACCCCTGGGCAGTGGACCGGCACCCGTCCGTGGGTCAGTTGGTACCGGGCCACACAGAAAGAATGCATAACTTCCATTTTTTTCAGTTTCATTTATTGTCTGATTCTGAACGATGTTTTATTTTGATAAACTACTGTCCATGACTCACACTTGTCAAGATACATGTCAAGATGCTTGCGTCGGTCACATGTCTTAGCTACATCCGCTACCTTCCTAAAAGGTCTGCTCTGGCGGGTAACACATGAACAGAAAACAAACGTCTTTGGAAAGTTGCTTTGCGCTAGTAAAACAGCATTTAACAGTCAATTCCAGGAGTCCTACTTGAAATATGGATTTATTGCGACAGTTAGTCGTTTCCCACGCACCGAGCCCGCTGCAAGCGGCTCTCTAATGAAGCTTCAAAACTGCTTCTCCGCTTGAATGCCTTAGCATTAAAAGACAAGCGCGATGTTACGAGGATGCTGCTAATAAAGTTGCATATACAGTGGCTTAACATTTATTGTTAGATTTAGAAAATACAATTTTCTTTATGCCGGTCGTATCATTTTACCAAGGCCGGTCCGTGAAAAAAATGTCAGGTATATTATATATGGTATGCCATTGAGCCTTTGTACCTCTGATCTAATCCTTGTTTGTAAATTAACTTTAATATGAAATATTTTTTTGCTCTAAAGTCTAAATTCGTCCTTCTAACTTTCAACTTTTTACTCTCTCTATATATGTAACACACTCACACGTGCGCGCGCGCAGTCTCACATTTACACAGAGTAAGGTCAGGCTCTGTGCTGAAGCAGGCTGACAGCGCAATATTTTTCTGAAGGCTCCGTGTTTTTGCAGGACTGCTGAATGCATAATGGAGGCATCACCAGCCGCACCTTAGGGAGAAATTAATGATGGAGCTCTGGCCTTCTTCACCTCCGCAGGACGGAACTCCTTTCATTTCTCCCGTTCTTGCGCTTCGTCCCCCGTGTTTTTTTTTTCACGCCACTCGGTTATTCTGTCACACATTTATTTCCACATCGCTAACTGTAGCTTCGGTGGACAACAGTGGTCGTCTTGGTGTTGGTGTGTACATGCATGGAAGGGTTAGGGGTTTTTTTTTTTTTTTTTTGCATTTAAGGATGTGTGTGTACTTTTACACCACACGTGTTCGTGTCTGTGTAAACAAACCTGAGTGTGTGCCGCTGGTTGTTTTTGTGTCTAATGGTCCGGAGTTTGTTTGTAATGAGATTCTTACACGTGGCTGATCAGTCGCCAGGCCTCTGAAGGTTCATTCACTCAGAAAAGTGCTAATGTGTCAGGAACTTTCACCCACTTAAACCGTGGGAAACACACACACATATATATATATATATATATGTATATGTATTTATTACAACTGGAGCCCGGCAATGATTCAAAATGAATTTGCCAAGAGTCGTGTCATTTTCTGCAATTTATATATCATTTGTTCGTAAACGAATCATAAATTCGTTTACTTTAACCCCACAGGGAACCCTCTCATGCGATTCGCTGGCACTGATGTTGTTCTTTAAACTGGTAGTACTCCAGCTACGAGTCAATTTAACTTGGCAGTGGTTAGATTAGTTGTAATGGTTT